GTTCCACGTTTTTGCGATCGTTTTGTCTGACGATCGCAAAAATGAAAAGGGTGACAAACTCATACCAATCCAACCACACACACACACACACACACACACACACACACACACACACACATATATATATATATTTCTTTTGTATAATTTGCATTTTCTATATGAACGTGTATAATATTATTCTTGCTTTTTATCACGACATTCTGGGTCGATGTACTCTTTATTATTATTATTATTATTATTATTATTATTTCGTTTCTTTTGATTTCTGGTGTGTACTCCTTTCTTTCCGGGTCCCGACCAGAGACCAAAGGTCAGAAATGAGTCTTGACATTTTCTACTGAGCAATTGAAAAGAGACACACACACATATTTACATATTTTACATAAATAAAACCTTTCGTAAGGTGTGGGCTGCACTCATGAGAACAATTTTTTGTATATCTTTAAGGCAATGAGTCTATTGGAATCTTTTCCAATTGACCCCAGGGCTCAAACTACAACAGTGATTTTTGATGCTCTTATATGCCACAATTTTTGATGCTCTTATATGCCACAATTTTGAGATTTCGATTTTGATATCTTTTTGAAGATCTTCAAAGATACATTGCAGTTTGCAGAGACTGCTATATCAATAAAAAGTCAATTCTTTTGTCTGCGGTCTCTAATAACAATGTCTGGGCGATTTCCTTTGATTTCTGTTATATACTCATTACTTTCCGCGTTCCACCCACAGATTAAGGTCCGAAATGTCATCATGACATTGAACATTTTTGTGAACATCATGACAGCGAACATTTTTGTACCGATAAGACTTTGTACATTTCCAAAGCCTTAAGGATCCAACAGTGAGGTACACTATCAAGGACTTTACGGTAATCTAACCAAGCTGTGCTTGGTTTTCTACAATTTTTCATGCAATATTCCCGGATCATTTTATTTATTAATAGTTATCTTTGAAAGCATATGAACCTCTTCGATATCCCTTTTATTCCGGGGGAAGAATATTGTTTTCATCGATAAATGAGTAAGTACAATTTGTCAGGATAGACGTGATCAATTTATATGGTGGACACACATGTTATTGGCCCGTAATATTTGGGATCATCTTTTATCCGTTTTTGCTAGGAGATATGGAATATTTTCAGTAATCCATTCTGGAATTTCATTGCAGTTATTAATTAGCATTGATAAAGTTTGGGCAAGAATTTTATGAATTGATGACAAATAATAGAGTCAGTTTGGGTACCTTGTCATTTTGTGTGGAATTCCATTTTCGGTATTTTATTAGAACTTGCTTAACGTTATTCTTCGTTATATTTCATCACAACATTCTGGGTCGATGCACTTTTCATTATTATTATTATTATTATTATTATTATTTTCTTTGATTTTTGACGTTTACACATTTCTTTCCTGGTCCCGTCCAGGGACCTAAGGTTAGAAATGATATCATGGCACTTTCCACTGACAAAAAAATATATATATAAATAAAAAAATACGTAGATAAAACCCTTCGCAAAGTGTGGGCTGTACTTGTCAAAACAATTTTTTGTATCTCCTTGAGGCATGGATTTCCAGGAATCCTTTCAATTAGTCTACTGCAATTTTTTCCAACCAGTCCTAGGGCTCCAACTACAACAGGGATTGTTGATGTTCCCATATGCCACATTTTCGAGATTTCTATTTCAAGGTCCTTGTATTTTGACAACTTTTTGAATATCTTCAAAGATACATTGCAGTCAGCAGGGACTGCCATATCAATAAGAAGGCACTTTTTTTTTGTTTGTGGTCTTTAATAACAATATTATTATTCCTTTGATTTCTGCTGTATAAACAATTCTTTCCGGGTCCCAACCAGAGACTCAAGGTCAGAAATATAATGTATAAGCATTGCTTTAGAGAACAATCTTTTGTATCTCTTTAAGCAAGTGTCTACCAGTGTCTACCAGTGATCACTTCAATGAACCTTTTCCAAGCAAAGCCTGGACTCCAATAGAAACTAGACTTATCGATGTCACATTTTTGAGATTTCTACTTCAAGATCTTTGTATTTTCATCGTTTCTTTTTAACAGCTTGATAACTACATTACAGTCTGAAGCAAATGACATGTCAATAAGCAAGCACAATTATTATTATTATTATTACTACTACTACTACTATAGTGTGGCGCAGGTGGATATTTTACGTGCCAACAGCTCTGTGACGTCACAGCATAGTGAGGTTTCGAGAGCTCGCTTAGAAAGTACTATACCTCAGTAGGTGACAGGCCGTTGATGCAGGAGGTCCTTAGTAATTGACATGTCTTCAGAATAAAATCACCGAGCTGCTGTTGAGGAGAGCCTTCGGCCCGGACACAAAGCGAAGGAAATCATTTAATACTTTAAAACCATGGTCCACAAACCTGCAAAGGTATAGGGGGCCTCAAACAACAAAGACAAATTCAGGCCACAAGGACGACCGCGTTCGTCGCCGACGTTGTCGAGGTGGTCGAAGAGAACCCTAGAAAGAGCACGTGGAAAATGGCCAAGAAAATGGGAGCCAGGAGGCGAACAATCGGCCGGATTGTGAAGGAGGACAAGAATTATTATTCTGTGCTTAAAAGAATATTTGTGTTTTCTACTAGTATGTTCCTAATAGTGTCGGGTAAATCTGAGTGTGTGTTTAAATGTGTTCTGATGGAGCTGTGATCAGATAGGTGTAACGTAAGACGTCTGGATAAACATGAGGTTGTGTAGCCGATGTAATTATTTATGAGTCCGGTTTGATCAGGAACGCAGTTCCTTAAAGGGCATTTGAACTCATAGATAATGTTCGTTCTTTGTAATTTTGACTTCGTTGGTGTGTTGTTATTTTTGAGGATAAAGTTGGCCGTCTTAAATTTTTTATAATAGTTAATAAGTTTGATTTTTTTATTCGGATCAGTAGTAGAAAACACAAATATATTAACTGCATCCACTTACCAAAAAAGACTAAAAATAATGGAAGCTCTAATAATAAAAAAAAAAGCCAACTCTTAACAATATTAACTATGAACAAAGCCACAATGTGCTAACCGTATTCGGAAATTAAAAACATCACTACCACACTGAACATACACAGAATGCACACACTCTACTAAGCTGATAATCGAATCATCCTTGATAATGGCTAAAGGTATATGAAAGCGCTCGGAAATATAAAACATTCGGACAGTTCTTTACACCTTTGTCCAGAAAAAAAGCTCTTGTCAGAACACAAGAAAAAATTAAATAAAAAGCTCAACCGTAGTACCTTGTCTGTCGTTTTTAATGAAATATGCATAAAGGAAGGATTGCCCTTTTAAATATACAACTATATATATATATATATATATATATATATATATATATATATAAATCATCTCTCTCTCTCTCTCTCTCTCTATCTATATATATATATATATATATATATATATATATATATGAATGAAAATATAAGAACAAATGAGATCGCTCGACAGACTATGTGATGACAAAGAACTAAGAGTATGACAATAAATTGATGGTTCACTTGTAATAATAAATGGTACAAATCATGGTTAAACTTTGTCTCCACTCATCAGCGATGGAGTGATCAAAGTGTGATCAAAGGAACTTTTAGCACAGAACTTACAGTTACATCTAGGAATCTCAAGATAAAAACAATGGCCAAATCGGTTAAAGGCACGTTAAGCTAAATGACGGTTCCGTATATGATACAGGTTCGATTCCTGTTGGAGGACGCATATTTTCTATGACAATTTCTCGGACATTCACGATGGTAAATGTTGTTTAATACTGTTTATTATAAACAGAGCATTAACTTAAATATTTGTATCTATAAAAAGTAAGTATAAACATAAAAATGTCTTAAAATAATTGCCGGACTTTGTCCATTTCATAATGTGTGACGTCATTTGTTTACATATGGATACGCCATGAGCAGATATGAATGTACGTGAGAAATTCATGGAAGATTGAAGTTTAAAGACAGTAAATTCGACCTTGCTAACCGAACGCCCCTCAAATCGGTTAAGGCACGTCAAGCTAAATGACGGTTCCGTATAGGATACAGGTTCGAATCCTGTCGGAGGACGAATATTTTCTGTGAAAATTTCTCGGACAATTTTGTTTAATAATGTTTGTTATAAACAGAGCATTTACTTAAATATTTGTATCTATAAAAAGAATGTATAAACATAAAAATGTCTTAATATATATATATATATATATATATATATATATGTCGAATCCATTACATTCACTTACCTGCTAATACCATTGGGAAAGGTATTAATCCTCTTCTTCTTCCTCGAGCAATGGGTAAATAGCAGGACAGACTGTGTTCTCTAGCCTGGGACGACAACTGGTCTAGGAGGGTTGTTTGGGGACCTTGTGGCACGTAGTGCACCAGGTCTCTGTATTCGGCCCTTCAAAAACTGTGGATGGTCCTGCATGAAACCTTCACCACTATAATCAAATCATATGTGCTGGGTGTCTGGGCTGTCAGTTCATAGGAACTGAGCTGCTTGACCCTCATACGTCGAATACGACGGGAGAGTTATATATATATATATATATATATATATATATATATATATATATATATATATCTCGTATAATTACCGGCAATTCAAATTCCCGTCGTTATATTCTAATAAGATTTTAAAATTTGGTTTGTCCAGTAATACACTTTCTGTTTTACGGAAGTAATACATAGTATGACTGACCGTATTTGACAGTGTGGTATGAAATAAGGTTACCTATCACGTTTTCTCATACCTGGAACATTGCTGTAGAGAGTGCCTTTTGTCGATCTATTTCGGAGGATCTGATATAATTATGCCATTGTCGAGAGTCTTTTGTCTTTCATATTCGTTTGTCTTTTTATAGAAGTTTCGCTACTACGCCTTTTATAATTCTGAGGAAATCTGTCTGGTTATTTTGATGTTTTCGTATCTCTGCCTTTATGCAAATTTAGCTGTCTTATTTTAATGCATCAAGGTGCAATTAATCCTTCAATCTCTTTTTTTTTTCATTCTTTTTTTCGTTTCCTATATCTATCTATCTATCTATCTATCTATCTATCTATCTTTCTTATCTATCTATCTTTCTTTCTTTCTTTCTTTCTATCTTCTTTCTTTCTTTCTTTCCATCTATCTATCTATCTCGTTTCGTTATCTATCTAATCCTATTCTTTCTTTCTTTCTTTCTTTCTTTCTTTCTTTCTTTCTTTCTTTCTATCTATCTATCTATCTAATCCTATTCTTTCTTTCTTTCTTTCTTTTCTTTCATTCTTTCTTTCTTTCAGGCTTTCTTTCTTTCTATCTATCTATCTATCTATCTATCTATCTATCTATCTATCTATCTATCTATTCTTTCTTTCTTTCTTTCTTTCTTTCTTTCTTTTCTTTCTTCCTTTCAGGCTCTCCATTTCGTTTCCTATATCTATCTATCTATCTATCTATCTATCTATCTATCCCTCTTTCTTTCTTTCTTTCTTTCTTTCTTTCTTTCTTTCTTTCTTTCTTTCAGGCTCTCCATTTCGTTTCCTATATCTATCTATCTATCTATCTATCTATCTATCTATCTATCTATCTTTCTTTCTTTCTTTCTTTCTTTCTTTCTTTCCATCTATCTATCTATCTATCTATCTATCTTTCTTTCTTTCTTTCTTTCTTTCTTTCTTTCTTTCTTTCACTTCGTTTCGTTCCCATATCTATCTAATCCTATTCTTTCTTTCTTTCTTTCTTTCTTTCTTCGTTTCCTATATCTATCTATCTATCTATCTATCTATCTATCTATCTATCTATCTATCTATCTATCTATCTATCTATTCCTCTTTCTTTGTAAGTGTAGCTCTATTGAAGGCATTACACACACACATATATATATATTTAATTACTTCTTTCTCTCCGTGGTTCATTTACCATCCAACCTTCTGCAGACACCGAGTCAGACGCAAAAGCACCCCCACAACCTTCACTCCCAACCTGCCAAAGTTCCTTTCAGTAGTTCTTCGATAAGGTTTGTCTTTTTATAGAAAATATATTTTGGCAACTCTTGCTGCAGATAACATTGTCCATTTGGTTCTAGAGATTAACAGAATCACAAACGCCTGACCGAATTCCTCGTAATCACGCATCTAAAATTCCTTGACCACTGTTCAAAATTATCTAATTGATTAAATAAAATGATGTATTTATTAAAATAACTCGTAGATTATCAGCAAAGATGGGCATCGAAGACTATTTCAGCAAATATGAAATATAAATTCGTAGAGCTACCGTTTACCCAATGTTAACGAAATCTTAGAAGTGTTTCCCTGATTTAATCAACTCATTAGTCGAAAATGTATCAACAGTAGTGCATATATATCCTTCTTTCTTTCTTTCTTTCTTTCTTTCTTTCTTTCTTTCTATCTATCTATCTATCTGTCTATCTATCTATTACTCTTTCTTTCTTTTTTTCTTTCTTTCTTTCTTTCTAGCCGTAGGTAAATTCAAAAAAATATAATCTTAGGAGATATATAGAATACAGTTTGATGTAAAATTTCTTATTACTTTTTTTGATAGAAATTCTCACTCATTACAAGGCGCAAGATCCACTCAAGGTAGAAGGTTACTGAATGAGGTTACTTCTTCAATGTGTCATGTCTTTTCGGAATGTTGGCGATTATGGCTCTTCACAATTTCCCGTTATTTGTAGCTCTCCCAATTGTTCTCCCAATCAATTACCCATGCTCTCTAGGTAGGTTACGCGTTGTTTTCCTCCATTGTTGCCATCAATATGTCTTGTGTGTGTTAATTTTTCTAAGCACTCTTTCTCCATTATGTCCGCTAGAAATTTCAATTGTTCCTTTTTGATATGTATATATGTCCTTTTTGCTTCCATTTTCTCAAAAGCTTGGTCGTTGGCCACTTATTCAGTCTATCGTATTCTCCGAGTCCTCCCCGCCTTTAAAAAACAAACTGCAACAAAACGCAGTGATAAAAAGTAACAATTTCTTCTTTCAATTGAATCTTCTTCTATTTGCCGCACCCCTTAAGGACACTGGTGAACCTGGCTCTCCACAATTTCCTGTATTTTGTAGCTCTTTATAACTTTTGTCCTTTTGACATATCCCCAAAACCTCTCACGCCATCTATTCGCTCAATCACACCTGGTAGATTGTGCCTTGTTTCCTCTGACCTTCTTGTCTTCAATCTGTTCTGTGAGTGTCAAATTTTCAAAGCCTTCTTTCCTCATTATCTCTTCCAGAAATTTAAAGCCTCTCTTGATGTAAGTATAATTGTCCTTTTTGTTGACATTGTCGCTAAAACATCGTCATTGGTCACATGTTCGGTTTATGGTAATCTCAGTATCTTTCTGTAGAACCACATTACTGTTGCTTCAAGTCTCTTCTTCATCTGTGAGGAAATTGACATTCTCATTCATTGACATGTAGGACTGTTCAGTACACTTTTCTGTGTTTATAATAAAATTTTCCTGTTTCTTTATACTCTTCTTAGCTTTTGAAAAGTAACTTCGCTATTCCAACGCAACTTCGAAGTTCGGTGTCGCACTTTCTCTTCTCTGTTAAAAAAACAAAAAAACAAAAAAAAAACTTCTCAGATATTTAATTTTTTGGATTTAATTAATTTCGATATTTCCAATTTGTAATTTGTATGTTAGGTTGCTATGTAGAAATGAGGGTAAATTAACCCATTTATTTATCTCATTTACTTTCTTATATATATATATATATATATATATATATATATATATATATATATATATATATAGAGAGAGAGAGAGAGAGAGAGAGAGAGGGAAGGGAATAAGAGATGTGAGAGTATGGATAATCGTGGTATGTAAAAATCTAACATAGTGTAAAACACACAAACATAGAGTACACAATGAAAGGTATGCTATAATATATTGGTGTAAAAGTACACAGAAAAGACACACGTACCCATATTCAAACATATACAGGTTCTTCCTCTCACGCACATACGTTCATACACGCATGTACACACATACATTCATTTACTTTTCGTGGATCAGAGATCCTATTTTCTTACTCATAGCAATGCTTTCTTTTACACATACTTACGCACACAACAACCACACACACACACACACACACACACACACATATATATATATATATATTGATATAAGACAACTTTTCAGCATCTCCTCGTATACAAAATAAACAAACAATAAAAAAATACCCCTAACGTCAAGGAAAATAACGAAAACAGCTTCTGCTATTTTTACTGCCGTTGCTAAATCGTATGTTTATTCAGCATACTCACAGCATAGAAATGCGACTTTTTTTTCTACAGAGGATTCGCCAAAAATGCACTGACAACGCGGTTATGCTGCAGACATCAGGTTGTACTGTTAATGCTAACGAATTTAGTGGAAGGGTCAGGTTCCGTTTGGTGGACAGATTCCCAGTTTCGTGTGGCATCATTTTCGCTTGCACAAAAATTAAAAAGCCCTGCGTCAATGAAGTCGATAGAGAGAGAGAGAGAGAGAGAGAGAGAGAGAGAGAGAGAGAGAGAGAGAGAGAGACAGAAAGAGGAATTGACAGAGAGAGAATTTTAAAGGGAGATAATGAGAGCCAAAGAAATGAAAAAAAGAGATATTTTGTTGCTGTGAATATAGACACACACACACACACACACAGAGGGAGAAAGAGAGAAAGAAGAAAATAACAGTAATAGAGAGAGATGTAGAGAGAGAAGGCAAGGGTAATCGATAGAGAGATAAGAAAGAGAAGCAAAGAGAAAGAGAAGCAGAGAGACAGACAGACAGTGACACAGAGTGAAAATTGAAAGGGAGAGACGGGAAGGAGAGCGAAAAGATGGAGAAAGAGAAGGTATTTTATTGCTGTGAATATAGTTAAAGAGAGGGAAGTAAAGAGAATAACAGAGAGAGAGAGAGAGAGAGAGAGAGAGAGAGAAAACGTTAGAGAGATGTGAAAGAGGGGCAGAGAGAAAGAGAGAGAAGACAGTATTATATCGCTATGAAAACAGTTACAGTGAACCAGAGATAGGGAGACAATGAGAGGAAGCCGGGGATAAAAAGAGAGAGCGAAGAAGAAGATAGTATTGTGCCGCTGGGAAAACAGTTTCGTGCGTGAGAGAAAGAGAGATGAGCAGAGAGGGTTAAAAGGGACGAAAGAAAAGGAAAGAGACAGAGAGAGAGAGAGAGAGAGAATGAAAGAGAGAGAGAGAGAGAGAGAGAGAGTAGATAGGATAGTGTACCGTTTTGAATACACCTAGAAAGAAAGTTATAGTTGCAGATTAAGAGAAAGAAAGAGATAATTTGAGATACTGAAATACGTACAGAGAAGAGAGAGTGATAGAGAAAGAACGAAAAAGAGATAGAGAATGAGAGGGGGAGGAATAAAGAAAGAAAGAAAAAGAGTGAGAATGAGAGAGTGGGAGATAAAGAGATAGGGAGAGAGGAATTGAGAAAAGAAAAGTAAAGAAAGAGAACGGTTATATTTTACATTTATAAATTTATTTTTTTGAAACGTGTCTGGACATGTAGCTTAGCCAATTTCATTCAGTTTCATTCGGCTATTGTTTTTATTAGTTATGATATTAAATATCCCAGGTTGTGATGATAGAATATCTACCAAGAAAGGTGAAATATTTTGAGAACCAGGACGCAAATTTACCGTGGATGGTTTAGCAATCAAAGCACTTTCTATACACTTTCATTTTAGCCAGACTCATTTCATTGAGCTACTAATGAATTGGAACGTCTTACATAGAACTTTTTCCACTAAGATTGTTCTTATATATGTAAATTTATATATCATATTCTCACATATATATTTAACCATATCTATATAGATAACTGTACACACACGCACATACACACACGCGAGCATACATACACACACACTTACTTATATCTATTTAAACAGTAAAGCAATGAAAAACCCTAACTGTACGCTTAAATTTATATATATATATATATATTATATATATATATATATATATATAGGATTAATACAAATATATAATTTGTCACTTAGATAATTGAAATATATATATATATATATATATATATATATATATATATATATATATATATATATTATCAAAATCGTGTAACAGCATAATTGTCCATACCACTAAATGTTTAATCTAAAATCCTCTAAACTAATTAAGTTTTATCCGGTTTTTTAAGGTTTTCAGATAAGACGTTTAACCATATTCACACCTTTTGTCATAAGAATCATTGAAAATTATTTATTAGGCTAGAAAAGAGAACAGGTTAAAATTATTCAGTTAGAAAGAGAACAGGTTAAAATCGTTTTCTGTCAGCCCCACTGTCTTTCCAAATGAGCAATGGTGAGAGGAAAAATCGTCCAGTCCTTCAGTAATGGCGCCTACATTCATACTCTGGCTTCCATTTTCAAAGTCCATTCAAGAACCATCAACATGACAGCGAATAAGTTTAAAAAAGAGGCTACAGTAGAGAGGAAAACTGGATCAGGAGGTCACAACTGGAAGAGGGATCATCATTTTAACTTAGAGCTAAAGAGATCAATTCGAAAAGATTCAACTCAATCCATAAGACGTTTGGCACATGAGAGAAGTTTCAGCTATGACAGTCCAAAGAGCAGTGGGAAAAGACTTAAAAATGAAATCGTACGTGAAAAATGTGAATCACCTTGTTACTCCAGGACAGAATATTAGAAGGTTAGAAGGCGAAGATCATATTGAATAAGTTGGAAATGATCCTGGGAATAATATATATATCTATATATATATATTTGAACGTATTTCAGTCCTTCATGAGCTTCCGAACCTTAGCTATGTTTAATTAATGATGAAAATGCCATTTTTCGTTTATGATCGATCAGATTCTTCTGTTAAACTTAGAGAGTAATTATACATTATTATTACTCAAAGTAGAGTCCAATAGTTTTATAAAAATCATCGGATAATTCCAGTAATATATCTTTAATCATTTCTACGATACAACGGTTCGGAACTTAATCTAACAATTGGACAATTCTGCTTTTACTCGATTTGGACAATTTGCTCCCGGTATACATACATACATACATACATACATACATACATACATACATATCTATCTATCTATCTATCTATCTATATACAGATGCACATATATATAGATATATATATAAACTCTTTTCCTGTAAGTACTTGATAACACCACGATACCATATTTTGTCTATTTTCAAGGATAGTTGCTACTAGTTATTTTTCTCTTGGAGTTTTCTTTGAACAGTCAGATATCAGTTTAGCTGAGAAGAAACAATGCATTTCTTAATAAGAAGATTGAAATTAATGCATGCAAGGTTTCACAGTTCTAGCATCACTCCATAATAGTCAGACTATGAATTTATCAGCCCACTCTCATATACATTATGAAATGGATTAAGTCCGACAATTATTCAATGCATTTATGCATTTTGTGTTTCTATAAAAACAACGTATGAATATATATATATATATGTATG